AAGTTTTAAATTAGTAAGTATTATATTCTTACTTTACTTTTTTTCTTACTTATTACTCTAAGTAGATTTAAGCTAGAAATACTTCTATATCTATATTATAGAGATATTAAAGTTATCTTATTTTAAGATCTAGATAGTAGGCCTTATAAAATCTTACTTTATTTTACATTTTATTTTACTAAGACTTTTCTTAGGCTAAAAATAATATAAGTTAATTACTCTATACTATAATATTTTATATATTTCTTACTCTAAGCTATAATATAAAAATAAGATAACTATTCTAAAGTTTTTATTTAATTTATCCTTTTTACTTTATTTTTATAATCTTTTTTTTAGCCTTTTTTTTTAATATAAAACTTTTAAGGCTTTTAGTTTTATTACTTTTAAATTTTTAAGTAAACTTAATATCTATTCTAATAAGTATAAATTGCTACTTTTATTAAAAGAGTTAATAAATAAAATCTTTATTTTCTAATAGGCTATTAAAATTACTTTTAATAATTATAAAATATTAATAAATAATTAGATAATATATTTAATTATATTAAAGTAGATAAAAAAAATAGGTATTCTTACTAGCTTTAGTTATATAGTAATCCTCTATATACTATATTATACTACTACTAATATATTTAATTAATTAAATAAGTATTCTATTCTAATTATATACCTCTAAGCTATAAAATTAAATAGAAGCTAATAAATAAAGTAAATATTAATAATAAACTATATAATCTAATTTTTAAATATAAGAACTTAAATATTTTTAAAAACTATTACTTTAGTTATATTATTATAGTTAATATAATAGCTATTATATACTAGATAAAGCTATAAAAAGCTTTAATATACTAAACTACTAATATTAAATACTTAAAAAGTAAATAATATCTTATTAACTTAATATCTAAATAAGTTACTAAAGTTAATAGTTATCTATAAATCTAGAAGCTTTTTTAATATTAGCAGGCACTTTATTAAGAAATAAGTAAATCTACTAAAAATTAAAAGAAATTTAAATTAATTACTAAAAATCTTTAAAATAAAAAAGTAAAGCTATCGTAGGAATTTATATAGTAGGTATAAAATAATTAATTTTAAAAGCAGGCTATAATTAATATAAAGTAATAGCTAGCTAGAAAATACTTTAAAAAGTTACTTTTATTATTATATATTATTAACTCTTATTCTACCTAGATATACTTACTTAATATTTTAAAAGTATCTATAGTAAGTATAATTAAAAATAAATTCTACTATTATAATAAAATAATTTTAATAGTTATAGCTTACTACTATATTTAAAAAGAACTAATAACTTACTGCTATTTAAATTAATTAGTTAATAAAGAAAATATATTCTAAGTAGCTTAAATCTTAAATAAGAGCTATTAAATATATAAGAAATTAGTAAATATAATTACTTTTATCTTTATTATAAATATAGAAGAGTAACTCTGCAGATACTTTATTTATATTAGCAGAGCTACTACTCTTCTATCTTCTAACCTAACTATTCAGAATCTTATTAGATTATTCTACTCCTCTAGCAATCTAAATAAATATATTAGATAATATTACCTCTCTAATATCTAAAATAACAAAAAGCTATACTATTATCTTTATAGCTTACCCTTAAATTATAAAATATATTTTTAGAATTATACTATAAGAATATATAGAACTATATTATAAGAGCAGCTACTTAATACTAAAGAACTTAATAATATAATACTATTATTAAGGCCTATATTTAAATATTAATATAGAGCTAATTTAAAGTTACTGCTACTTTAGTCTTATATAAATAGCAAGATTAATATAGCGCTAATATATCGACATAGTAATAAGTCCCATAATTAAGAGAATTTAGCAGTTTCTAACTTCTCCACACCTAGTGCTGTAGCTATGCCGGACGCGCCACACACGGCTCCACTCCCGCTCCGTTCCCCTTCTGCTATGGCCCTCGGTGCGCCTCCTCTATCAGCTTCGCTTGTTATTTGGTTGCAACTGCCTTATTAACTTTTCGTAATTGGCCGTAGAGTTATCTTCCTTCTGGCTCCTACAGAGCTACTCCTGTATTGAACCGGATCTCCCCGTTATTGGGCCATTTCCGCCGCTTCCGCTTTTCCCGCCGTGCACTGCCGTCCCGCCCCCCATTCGAGGGCCTACCTTAGTACCCGGGAGGAAGGTGGGGCCCAAAAGAGCCGCATGGTTTGTGCACTGCCGCATGGCAGATAACTTGTCTTCGTTCCGCCCCCGATTCGAGGGCCTACCTTAGTACCCTAGCTGGGCCACGGGCCGGGCCCCGGCTTGCCTGACTAGGTGGGCTGTCGTCTGCGTCCTTGGCCAAGTTGTCACTTCTTGGCTTGGCTAGACATTGAAGAGACACTAGACAATGCGGAACACAAAGTCAGGCTGCACCTCGAGTTGAACAAGGACTCAATCTCCAAAGCCGTTGACACGTACATCGGATATAGGGTAGATCAATTGGCACAGGATAAGAAGTACAACAAGGAAACAAAGGATACTGTCAAGATCCACTTGGCTTCTAATGCCGATGGCACCTTTCTCTGGGTGGCCTTGGTCTGTCAAGAGCTCGCCGATCCCAAGGTCCGAAAACGGCACACGCTTGCCAAGTTGAAATCGTTCCCACCAGGACTTGATCCTCTCTACAAGAGAATGATGGAAAAAATCTCCACGTCGAATGATGCAAACCTTTGCAAGGAGATCCTAGCTATTGCTTCGGTCGTATACCGACCTATTACCTTGGAGGAATTGAAGGTTCTTGTTGAGTCGCTCGAGGACCTCGACCAAGACGACTTAGAAGAAATCATCAAATCCTGCGGTTCTTTCCTAACTCTTCGAGAAGGTGTCATCTACTTTGTGCATCAATCAGCCAAAGATTTCCTGCTTAAGAAGGCACACAACTATCAAGAAAGGAAAGAGGAGAGTTCAGAAAGTAAATGGTGAGAGTGGCGAGACGCGAGGGGAACAAACGAAGGAGCAAACGAATAAGAAGCGGAAGATGTGATAGGGTGAGCACATACGCAGACTCAATGGGTGCTTGAGTTTGTTGTGATTGCGCGAAGGGGTGGCATAGGATGGTTGGAGCCTGCCATCTAGAGCGAAGCTCGCTCTTCCTCCATTTATTTTATTTCCTAGCCTAAATGAATTCCATCCCCTTCCCTTAACAACACAGCAAAATTCGTGAGGGTGCGTTTTGACGCGTCGTTGAGTGTGGGTAAACAAGAGTTGGTGGTTGTTGGAAGCAGCTGAACCCACACTGCATGATGGTAGTTAAAGGTCCCTGAAACGCACACGTCAGAATCACGCTATGAGAATACACGGAACTGTCTCATAAGAGCAGAAGCAACTGATCAACATTGGAGAACAACGCTGTTCGCTATTGAAGAATTGATCACGACACTGTTGTTAAGGCTTGTAGTTAACCGTCGATATAAAGCTAATTTACTGTACTGCCACTTTGGTCTTGTACGAATAGCGAGATTGATGTAGCGCTAATTTATAGATGTAGTAATGAGTCCCATTATTAAGAGAATTTAGCAGCTTCTAACTTCTCCACCATATCTAGATGTCCGCCTTCTGCCGCTGCTTGAAGAGCAGTACAACTAAAATCAGCAGCAGCAGCATTGACTTCAGCTCCTTTAGCCAGTAGTCGGTCTACTACATCTAGATATCCGCCTTCTGGCGCTGCTTGAAGAGCAGTATGGACACCATCAGTAGTATTAGCATTGACTTTAGTTCCTTTAGTTAGCAGTCTGTCGACCACATCTAGATGTCCGCCTCCTGTAGCTGCTCCCAATGCGTTTTATTTGGCAGCACTAGAAACCTCGCCTCGAAGGAGAAAATCCAGCATTTTTGAGTCACCCTCTTTGGATGCGCGTTGAACAAGGATCCCCCGCGATTGACGCAGCAGTCCACCGTGGTTGGAAACAACGCGTGCGTGTTTAAACAGATTGGCGGTCACTGGTTGTACGGTTTATAGCGGTTAAATAGAGATTTGCGTTAGAGTACGGTGCTATAGCAAAGAAAACATTCTAACTCCTCCACTCATGTAAGGTGGAAAGAGACAGGATAGTAGATGGATGTTTTGAGCCGAGAACCTGTCGCTAAGTCCGGGCACAGTCCTTGCTGATATGCTTTGGTTGCCATTCTCCTCGGCCAAGTTCTTGGCTGTATTGTTAAGGAGCAGTCGGTTGAGATCAATCTTCATTGGCCCCTCAATCCGCCCAAGCTTCACTGCTGACTACGATCGCGCGTGATCCCTCACACAAACACAGGACCAGTACGATGGAACTGGTACTAGCAGCGACGGCTAATGACGTTAGTGGCTTCTCCACTGGGTGCGCTTGAGCGAGCAAGAGGTGTACATGTCCAGGAACAGGGTCCACAATCGGACACCTCTCAAAATAGCACCGTCATCCGCCTTTCAATACCGTGACATCGGGGAGCAGAAAAGGGCCACTGCCGCTCCTTCCTTTCCACTTCCACTTGTTGACATTGTGAAGATCCTTCCCCTTAGCTCGGCAGGGCCTGTCTCGGCTCCGCAGTCATGCTCAGGTTATTGTCGACGAGGTTGCCGACAGAGCCAAGTATAACAAATCTTGTTAATTTTCCACGGTTGGTCCTGCCTTCGGCCAATATAGAATGAGAGGACTGTCCCCTTCACATACTTGGTCCTTCCACATGCATGGTCTTTTTACATGCTTGGTCTTTCACATGCTTGGTCTTTTCACATGCTTCGTCTTTTCACATGCATGGTCTTTGTAAATGTGACACCGGACCTCAAGAAGTTAGAAAAATTCATAAACTCGAACTATAAACTCTTAGTACAATACTGAGACGCCATAAGGAAGTAAATTGCTAATATACCCTTTAGTGAAGTCGCATAGTTAAACTTACATATAACTTCCGAGTGGTATTGCCCGAGAGAAAAGACTATGACGACGTAATTACAATTTAAACTCTCGTGGAAGGCAAATCGGCAGAAGAAACCGGGGAGGTATGGCAAGTGGCTATTCAAGGCCCTTCCTCTCGTATGATAGATATCTGCCGACGCCTCTATAATAAAGATGAGTCTGCAAGGAATGCCATTACCTGTCATACTAGGGTGAGGAGATGGATTCCTATGGGAAGTACGAAGAATGCTATTGGCGTAAGTCTCTTCCTAGTGGGTGCAGAAAACTCCAGGAAGGCGGAAATTACCGAGTTTCACGTGACGAGCTGTGTGAGTAGCAAAAACAACCCCTAGTAGAAGGAGGCCACAGAGGCCGCGGCAATTAACGAAGGGATGTCAGCAATTGTTGGGACTTCTATTATAGGCTAATTTAGGGGGAAAAGATGTACCTTTCATTCCGTGCCTTTTAATTGGCCTGACGCCCCTGTCGTGACCGGGTTCGCACAGCCCGTGGGTTAGTCATTTGACGTATATTGATATTTCGGAATTATCCGTTTCACTAGCTAGCCTGTGATCAAAGGATGACGACAGAGAGACGTGTGAGATTAGAGATATATTGGATTAAGGTTCAGTTACGTGGCATCACGTATGGAGGGCTGCGCAGCTGATATTTGCTAAGATTAGTGCTTGAGGAGCTGATATGGAGCCTTAAGCATATATGGAGTTTGCTGACAATTGTAGTGAAGGGAGTGTAGTCATTAAATGTCAAGAGCTAAACCCACTACGGCAAAAGGGAATGCGCACTGGTAATGCGCAGCAATCATAGCTCATATTTCATTTGA